ATTTACAACAATCTTGTCACTTAAAAAAATTTTTTTTTGAGAGAGTGAGAGCTCAGGAGGGCAGAGAGGGCCACAAAGGATCCGAAGGAGGCTGTCGGCACAGAGCCTGACAGTAGGGCTCTAGCTCACGCACTGCAAGATCATGATCTGAGCCAAAGTTGGATGCTTAACCAGCTGAGTCACCCAGGCGCCCCAGCCTTGTCACTTTTTGGAAATAGCTTCTCACGTTCTAAAATACTTGGGATTTTTATGTTTGCAGCTATGACTTGGTCTGCTCCCAGGAAAACTCAAGGATTTTAGCAAGACTGTCTAGTCCTTTTGTATTTGGAGTAACACCAAGCATGCATTTATTTATAACATGCGTAATATCAAGGTTTTGGCTTTGCTCTGAATCTTTTAGTACTATTGGGTTTGCAGTTGTAATGAAATCTAGGGAGTTGTCTTTTCCTTAGATGCACGTTGTCCAGATTTATTCTTCCCTCATCATTGATCTCACCCTTTATGGGGCATCTGGGTGGCTCCGTCAGTTATGCGTCCAACTTGGGCTCAGATCATGATCTCGCGGTTCATGAGTTCAACCCCCGTGTCAGGCTCTGTGCTGACAACTCAGAACCTGGAGCCTCCTTCGGATTCTGTGTCTCTTTCCCTGTCTGCTCCTCCCCTATCCATGCTCTGCTCTGTCTCCTTCAAAAATAAACGTTAGGGGAAAAAATTTAGAGTTACTCTTTAAGTATATAGTCATTTCTTTTGTTTGTAGTTTTTGAGATTCTGTCTCATGATGTAGTTTTCTTAAATTGTGATTTATATTTGTTAAAATTAATATAAAATTATTGTACTTAAACTAACATGTTCACTTTCTGATCTTATTTTGTGCCCCATTACTAATTTTACATAACATTACATAAAACTTTTAGAGGATACATGCCCACAAGGTTTGTGGTTTTTTGATTGGTTATCCTCCTGTATCATCTTCTGGTAGTATAGCAAGAGAAAATGATAGGATGTTTCAAGTAAGATACTTTGCTAAAGTGGGCAGGAATTAGTCATTGTAAGGATAAAAAGTAATGTTTCAGCGCCAGCAGTTCTATAGAATGGGGATGGAACAAAAACTAGGCCTTAGCTTCTTTCCTTTCTCTTAAGTTGAAACGGTCAGAAATGCAGTTATCCCAACCTGCTGGAGGCCGAACACCCTTCCTGGGTTCCCAGCACCAATTCCTTTATCAGAGCTTCATTTTGGACACACACTCACGTAAGCGGTGGTTTGATATGTTACCTTACCCAGTGGAGAGAATATATCTGCACCATTTCTTTCTGAACATTTATGGAAAAACTGGAAAAGGAAGTGTAAAGAGTCACGTTCATGACCAGCTATTAGGGCTAAACTAAACTACAAGATACAGGAAGAGAAGAGTGTATTTTGGGCACAGGAAGAAGCAGAATATGAAGGAATAAAATGGAAGGGTCGGAAACACACTGAGACATGGACATAATTTATCCCTTATTCTTCCTGCTCGCTGGCCTGAGGGCAGCTACTCCAACACAACACGACCCCATCAGCCTTTTCACTCCTTTCTTCCCTCCCCTGGAAAGTCAAGATGCACGTGCTTTGGGCACAACTGAACACTCTCTGCCTTCTTTCATAAAGGCTGGATTTTCCCCCTTTGGCTTTCCTCTGTACCTAAAAATACTGTGTTTCACTTTTCTTTCTGTCTATACCCACGATGGCACTAAAACTAACATGGCCCCGCTCTTCCTGCAGGTTCTGCTTTCAGCAGAAGCACTTATGGACCCTGCACTGGTGAGTGTCAGGTGTCCTGGAACTCCTGCTGCCACCCTCCCTGCCCTTGGTGTCTAGACCCTCTAGCTAAGCCCTCGGTCCAGGTCAGAGGTTATATGCAGGGGGATCTCCACTTGTGGCAAGTCATGGGGTGAGTGTGAAAGGGTGTCTTAGGTTTAGGAATCGGTGCCGTGGCTTTGGAGGAGAGACAGAGATGAGAGTGGTTAGGGGAATGTTTTAGGCCCGCTAGGACTGTTATGTCTGGTGAGAACAGAGGACAAGGAGGCTAGAGTCAGGCCTGGGGTATACCCTGAGCTGGGGTTCTGTTCTGAGAGTGAGGGTGATGGCCACACAGTTCTGGAGTAGAGGAGAAAACCAGCTGGCTCAGGTCTTCAGAAGCTGCCCCTGGCTAGAGTGCACTCCACAGTGGGGGAAAGGGAGACAAGGAGATCATGAACACAGCTCATGTAGTCAGAGCTCTAGATCGGCCGGTACTGGCTGTAGCTGGGCCAAATAGCTGGTAGATGCGGAGGTAGGAGAAGGATTTGGCTTCACGTAGGGCTGACCAGGGGCACCTGGGTGGCTCGAGTTGGTTAAGCATCCGACTTTGGCTCTGTCGTGATCTCA